AAAAAAAAAAAAAAAAAGAAACCTGATTACAGAAGATTCCTGAGAAGTAGGAGGAGTAGTTTTGATGGGTAAAGGGAGCCCAGGACAAGGAGCTAGGAGGCCCAAGGTCTAGCTGCCACTGTACCCTTCCCAGTGAGTGACAGTGACCTCATGTCACTTGCTTCTCTAGGCCTCAGTTTCCTCCTCGATACCCTGGAACTAATCTTGCCTAGGTCCACCCAGGTGTGGAGCAGAGATAGGAAGGCTGCATGAGGTCCCCCGGGATGACTCCTGCCCACTTTGTGTCCCCACAGGCTCCGGTGGAGCAAACTCCAGTCCAGCCTCAGCCTGGTCCCCTCAAGGCCATGGAGGAGGAGCTGCCACCTCCCCCAGCAGAGCCTGTCAGCTTCCCGGAGAGAGAAACATCCACAGGTATGTGCACAGGGTGGGAAGGACTCTAGCGTGATCCCCAGGGGTCCTCGTGGGGCCAGCATGGGCTTCCAGGTGGGAGCTACAAGAGCAGGGAATCCCATTCCCACCCCAACTCACATTACAGTCGTGGCTTTAGAATAGGCTTTAATTTAATTTTTACTGTTGTAATTTTTTTCCTTTTATAATTAACACATTTAAAAATATTAATCTTGGCCAGTCAAGGTGGCTCATGCCTGTAAACTTAGCATTCTGGGAAGCTGAGGCAAGAGGATTGAGGTTGCTATGAGCTATGAGACCACAGCACTCTACCGAGGGCAATCTAATGAGACTCTGTCTCAAAAAATAAAAAATTTGGTCTTTATGTAGTCAGATATCTCAGCCCTTCCTTTCTTGGCTTCTGGATTTTATGTCATTGTTAAAAAGGCTTTATCTCGGCTTGGCACTATAGCTCAGTGACCAGGGCACCAGCCACATACACTGGAGCTGTTGGGTTCAAATCCAGCCCAGGCCAACTACAACCAAAAAATAGCCAGGTGTTGTGGCGGGCGCCTGTAGTCCCAGCTACTTAAGCCCAAGAGTTTGAGGTTGCTGTGATCTGTGACTCCATGGCATTCTACCAAGGACGACAAAGTGAAACTGTCTCAAAAAAAAAAAAAAGGCTTTATCTCCAGTTATAAAATATATATTTTCCGGTTTCTTGTAGTATTGTGATGGTTTCATTTTTTTTTATACTTAAATCTTTGATAAATCTGGGATTCTCTGGGTGTAAGGTGTTGCTGTGGACCCCCCTCCTATAGATTTTTGCAGCTGACAGTCTGGTTATCCTGTCACTTTATCTTTGATTTTGGCTTTTCAAAACCTCTTCAGATTCCTGAGGTTTTTTTTCGTTTGTTTGTTTTTTGAGATAGAGTCTCATGTCACCCTTGATAGAATGTCATGGCATCTTAGTTCACAGCAACCTCAAACTCTTGGGCTCAAGTGATCCTCTTGCCTCAAACTCCCAAGTAGCTGGGACGACAGGTGCCCGCTACAATGCCTGGCTATTTTTTAGAGACAGGGTCTACCTCTGACTCAGGCTGTTCTCAAACCTGTGAGCTCAGGCAATCTACCTGCCTCGGCCTCCCAAGTGCTGGGATTAAAGGCACGAGCCACTGTCCCGGGCCCTCTTCACAT